TCATGCAGACATGAAGGCTATTAAGATTCAGTGCATGCAATTATTTCATTAGCGTCAAATTTCACGTCGTAAGCTTTTTTCAAAAATTTTTGAATTTGTGCTTTACTATACTTCTGTAGCTTCCATAAGCCAAATTTCACCGCGCGCACAAACAACGTCGCAAGCCATATATTAGCATTACGAGCCATAATATGCCTTGGCAAGGTGCTAATTAAGTTGCATAATTGTCGGAAGTCTCTAAATGTATGTAACAGACAAAACCAGATTTTAAAATGAATTGAGGGATTTTGCGTGTTACATATTAATATCGTACTTTTAAACCATATGTATATATAGCTAATTTATTTACATCTGATAAACTTATCTGGCCTCCGTACGAAGCAGCTACTGATTAAAATCTATTCAAAATTAAGGACCGCATCCTAGGACGGACCTTTCAGCTTGAAATTCGTTCTCTTTAATGCAGTCTGACATAGCTACAAATTATACAACAATTGAAATACCCTAGGTAATATTTGAAGACATAAATACAGTGACCTAACGCGCGTTCGGTAGGGTTACGACGAGAACTAAGAGATCCTCATTTATTGGAGGCCAGGATAGATAACGAAACATCAGTATTAGCAAAACGTGATTTATGACAAACAGCGAATTAAGGGACCCCGCAGTACCAAGTATACCTCAAGACCCCATCCTCGCTCTGTTCGTTACGCCACTGCATGAATATAATAGCAATTTAAATATGTACGTGCATCTAGTCTAAAACTAGAGCCGGAGCAACAAGATCCTCAGTGCCCCACTTACAAAATTGTCTTATTTCCTTAAAAAGGTATCTTTGTCTCCCCAGATCTAAGCCATCTGGCTCGATCGTTGCTGGCATGTTGAACGGTGGCAATTGCATAAATATAACATATATATGGCATAAATATAACTCATGCATTGTAAATATTTATTTAGACTCTTAATTCACAAAAAAATACTTCATATATATTGATATATGCACATTTCAGCACAATTCACTCCCCATGTATATTTTGGTTGTAATTTGATTTCTCTCGACTTGCTCCTCGAATCGGAAACGTGGAACGCGGAAAAGGCTCAAATCGTATAAATGATAGAGACTGTATGAGAGTAATGAACCTATATCAATGATGTTCATTGTGTGACTTTTTTTATTACAAAAAAAATTCCGTGTTTTGTGAGGTTGAGTTTTGCGCTATGTTTTAAAGTGCGTGCAGTCCTTCCTTGCGCACAACTGGACTGACACAAGCCCAAAGGGCAAGTTGCCAAGCTAACGTTTACAATATACATATTTTGCCACATATATTTCGCTATATATAATTCATCAGAAAAGGAGCATTGGAATTTATCTTGCTTGGACAACATATCAGCTGTTGGGCAACAGGAAAATTTTCACTAATTTTGATTTGGGCTCCCTTGATTAGAAATTACATTCCGGATATTAAATTGCAATTATGCATGGTCATTGCACCTTGAAGCCTGCCAGCTAGAGCGGCAAAATGAGCAAATTTGAAATGGCGCCTGTCAACTGTTTATGCGTGCATGAGCGCGCGGGTAAAGATCTTTACCAATAATTTCGCGAAGACTGTGTCAAATATTTGCTGGATATTAGCATCTATGGAGAAGTCAAGGCGTTTTAACGCAAGCATATATAAAGGTTAATAGGCTACCAGGTATGAACACTAAATGAAACATCAGCTATGATATAAGGAAAGTCATGACTTGGCCACTTTATTAGGCGCGCTTGCAATTATTTTCCTCCAAGCATTGAAATCAGGCTTATTGATGAAATCATCAACAGAATTCGTATAACGGTTCTCTCGATTTAAACTAAAGTTTTTTTTCCCTTGAGTGTATTTGCTTGGCTAAACTGTAGCTCTCTATTGACCATGCATATATATCGAAATATGACACGCATTCGAAGTAAGATTTCATATAGATGATCATGCAATTGTATATAACAAGACGTTCTCAATTGCATTTTATGTAGCTATATGTTAACGCGAGTAAAATGTATTCGGATATAAATGCGCACTGCAATATAACTCTTTAGATTGCTTATCATGGCCGGTGGAATCAAGTTGGGCCACGATCATCCAATCATTCCGAATAAACATGACATGAAAGGTTGCCAGACCTTGAAAATGGCTTGGCTGAGGTTAGAAAAGTTGTTAGCTTGGGCCGTGGTGGTTACAATTTATAGGATGCATTTACTTACATTGAAACAACAATTGTTTACAAACTTTGCTGACATTTTTCATAAAAAAGGGGTAGATGCTACCTCGAAATATATATAATTATATGATATAAAAGATTTCGCCAGACAAAATGGATTAATGCTTTCATGCATGTCTTAAATAATCTTGATTAGTTAATTTTTACTGTAAGCAGGAGGCACAAATTGTGTCACAAGTAGATGTCTCGAAGATGTTGAGGATCGTTTGTTTCTTAAAATGGTGAGTATAAACTCCCCTGTGCATGCATTTGGCATTGTCGTTTCTATATGGGCGGCAGCATTGCTATATGCTTTGCAGAAAAAATTATTTGCACTCTTTGTGATTTAAAAATCCGGTTTCTATATGGGCGTTTGCTATTGCTATATGCTTTAGTGAAAATACTGTGCAATCTTTTCTTGCTGCCGGGGTTGAGTATTAAGTTGTTTTGCAGGGCGGAACTGAATTCGGACCTTCGGGATTGCGGATTGCCGCGGTGGTTTGAAATGAAGATTTCGAAAATTATCCCATTAATTTACGCGCGTTCTATTTCTTTAGGTCACTATTGTTAGGCTCATGCAGGTAGCATAGGTATTTACACAGTTACCTATGTAGATGGTCGAATATTTGGGGAAAATAAAATATTTCCTGATGAATATGACCACCAGGAATTTAGTTAGCTAATTTAATATCACAAGTATTAATTAGCGATATACTGGTTCATAAGTCATAACACATGCATATGTGATCGTATGGTTACAAAACATATCACTTACATGAAAAAATATGGCGGCAGAAATAGGGACATTTCAGCTTTAGCTTTGCGAAAAAATATGGCGATGGTGCATGCAGTGGATAAAATAGATTATTATCAAATTTTTAAATATTCTTAAGGTATAATGATGCCCTTAGTTGCTACTGACAGTACTGTGTATAGGCGACATTCCGCGACAAGCTTGACCGCACGGAACATATTGTGAGCATTAGGTAAATATTCAAGCTTATATTTTAAATATTTTATTACCGCGTAATGCATTGCTGAAATTGAAATGTGGATTTTCACGTGCATAAATGGTTGGGATATTTAATGTAGTAGGCTATTTATACCAAATAAGTTTTGACAGCATGCAAGCACACGTTACTACGCTGGTTCGTATACAAACGAGCTTTGCGTATGCGATATTCTGTATAACTGTTATTAATGTCTGGTTATCATCTGTAAACAACTTGATCCTTGCGATAATTAATTTAGTCGTTTGCGCGTCAAAGAGTATAAGCAATAGTGTACAATGGAATCTCTTGTGTTTAGTTTAACATAAAATATGTATCCAGTAGCTGAAACTCAACCAAACTTAGACGGTGACCAATGACATTGCCTATGATATTATTATCGAAGCCAGGCCATTTATGGCAATCTTCGTTTACTCTCGGTTTAGAGCCGTGTTAATAAAACGGATGCATGCATGATGTGTTTATATGTCCTTAACCACCCATACATATAGTTTGTCCGTGTTCGGCTTTCTAACGATTAATAAACCCGAATTTTGATGCAAAATGCAAATGTGTATATATATATAAAGTATAAAATAATGTGATTTAGGTAGTTTAGCTAATAAATTTAGTTAAACATTCAAATGAAGGTATAGCTATTTATATGTACACGCATACTTGCGCCAACACATGTTACGTGTTTGAAAATATTTCCTATTCTTTTAATTAGTCAATAATATCTTGCGTCAATCATACGCGCAACAGGCGTTCAGACTAATTCGTTAAAACCGTTCATAAACATAAATCGTTCAAACGGCTTCAGATTGAACGTTTATTTATCCGTTCGTATTCTCGACTTTAAACGTTCACATTTTTAGCTGAATTCGTCAAAACGTTTTTTGGGTTCGTTGAAACGTTATTACAGATCGTTCACTACCCGTTCGTTATCCGTTCGTTTTGCCGTTTCAACGAAATATCGTTAACGTACGTTTTCCCGTGGAAGGTCACATATTGTGCATTGTTTGCACTAACGCTACCATGCAAAAGTCGTTGTCTCAGACTTTCAAAATAGATTTTTGATGCTATTCCCGACGACCTCAACTTCGAGGCGAGAAAGCAAACAATTCTTATAGCTCACGGATGACCCGCATTCGTACTCTCAGTTACTCCCGAATGAGTTGATACAATTTCAAAGTGGATTTTGAGTATTTGTACAGGACTGTATTTTCATGAATCTTTTCAAGTCCATGGCCAGAAATTGCGGACATGGAATATGCAGATTGCCGTAGCAAATTTGCATATCTGTTCAAATATTATTCGTTTGCAGAACTATAAATTATATTGCGCATTCTTAAATTTTGCAAAATTTAAGAAAATCATTGCATCTTTGCTATTTGCCCTGGTTGTTTCTTGTAACTCGTGTCATATTGAAGATCCTGAGGTAATATTTTGCTGGCAAAGGTTTATGTCGGCTCTGCATTTTTATTTTATTTCTACGCTATTACGGTTTTCGTTTTATATGGTATTCAACGTTATAAATGACCAAAACTTTGTTTTGAAAATGCAGGACGAATACTGATAAAACATTTTGAAATACTGTATAAAAATATTAAGATTAACTTGCTCTGCAACGAGCAATTAAGGCAAATTATAATTGACCTACCTAAAGGTGTATTTTTAGCGTTTAGTACTGTGCACATTACAGTTTACTATAAACTCACGAAGCTTTATTTTGACACCATATGCAAATTTAGGCGGAAGTAGAATGTTAAATATGTCCGAATTTTCTGGCCATGGGAAATTGAAAACTAAATTTCATAACTACAAGTTGAACAACCAAAAGTCGCCTTCCTCTTTTCAGGTTTTACAAGAATTGGTGAATTTTCAAAACCTTGGTTTAACTTTCATTGAAATTCATCTTCATTCAATCAGAAATTGCCATTTCGTAATGCATTAAAACTTGCATGTAGTGCTCATTAATTTGATTGGGTACATCAAAGTGCAATTGGTATATATATATGTGCTATATATGTCTTGATACAGTGTGTGCAATGATTATGACTGTGCAATTTGTATAATATGTACTATTTTTGATAAAATATAAATATGAACAATGTCGCACGCAATGAGATGTCTTTGCTAGGGAGTTCTCTATGCCACCAATACTGGTTCCTTCATTCTGAAGTTTAATCTAGTCAAGATTGAAAGCAATTCTTTGGACTAATTTTTTCCTATACGTCTAGTGGAAAAAAGACTATTGTACACATGCACACAAGCTGACCACACGAAATGCTTATTTTGCATAAAGGCGGTCGAGAAATATCGTATCAGCTTATCTCAAGTTATTAGAGTTATCGCAAATAGTGCATAATTATAATGATTATAGTTGACGAACATGAGAAAAATGAAAACATAAAGATCAAGCAATGATAAAAAGTGTCATTTTGATCCCAATACTGGCGACATAGAGAAACTACATCCTATATACGCATGTTTATAGATAATGCAAATTTTTGCCTTTCGCAACATGATATGTACATAATTATACCGTTTATGTCATTTGTTGTCCATGATAAATTGTTCCTTGTCACTATTTTTTTGTGTTATGCGCTTTGCATATACATATAGGAACAATACGTTGAAATTATAGCTATACTAAACAGCTATAAAGAATATAGTGGTTTTCTTATTTTTTTGGATTTGAAAATGATATTTTCGCATAATTCATGCTCCATTTTCGCATATAATAGGCTACAACTATCTAACTAAGTTTATACTTACATGCAGTATTCAGCAGTTTCAATTGCGTGATTAGTTTTGTATTAAACCACGACAAATCAACAAGTTGAATAATCGTCCTTTTTGTTCAGAGAATTCTCCTTGAGCATTTCAAGCTTATCTTATAATCAATGAATGGAACGCGAAAACCACTCAAAGATACAGCTGATCGATCTGTCATTCATTTGTCCTAAAAAGACAAATTACGGTTTTGCATTTCTAAGACTTTCCTAAGGAGCTGATCTTTGCGGTTCTTTTGTGTCTTAATCTGTTGTACAAGAGATCTTTCCTCAGCTTGCAGCTGTAAAATGTAGCTGTACGCTTTCTGTAGAATTGAAACTTTCGGAGCGCGATCGTTGCCACATATATCAGGAATTGAGTCCCGCAGGTATTGAAAACGCAGCTTTAGTTCGTTTCTTCTTTTCCGTTCTAAAACATTGTGTGTAGCGCGACCAAGTATCTCGCACTCGGGATCAGATTCATCTCCTGATAATACTCTTGTTTTTTGTTCAGAACAGTTTTCTTTATCAGACTCGCTACAACTCGATCTTCTCCTTTTTACTCCAGACCGAAGTTTACATGAATAATCATGATCAGTGTTCTCGCATTGTGGAGTGCTTTCCGCTTCTTCCACGATCCTCGACTCCGCTCTGTCGCATTTCTCGCTTTTTTCCGATTTTATTTCCTTTCCTTCCTTTTTTACGGCGTCCATTTTTGGATTTCCTTCGAGTCCAACAACATCAACTTCTACTTCTTCGTCTGTATTGAAAAGATCACGATAGAACATCAACAAAATGCACACAATTACAATGAGCAAGGGTTTCATAGGAAATTATCAAATATTTAGATCTTCATTATTTTCAATTGAGATATTTTGCAAAACATTGAAAAATGCAACATCGTTCGCTAAAAGGATAGTGATTTTGAAATAACCAAATTTACTTTGTATATAGTTACTTTCAAAGCATTTTGCTTGCAAGAACATGCACCTTGTGTCAAGAATACCTTCTGTTGATATTCAGCACTGACTATATTAATCTATTTTCAACGGGGAATCGATCGCGTTTCAAGCACCTTTATAACTCCAAATTGTTGACTGTTGAATTTAGTTTTCATTTAGACAATTTACCAATAACTCTTTTTATTTAGTTTAATTCACGTATATTGTTAAAACCTGTTAAGCATAAAGGATATTATATGTGTGCCGCTTTAAACGAAGCACAAATTCCTTCCAATGAGTCTATATATTCTGTATACAGAAATACTTCTTTAGCTATGAGCTGGATGACCCGGCAGCTGTTAATCGGGTGAATCACCTCATGACGAGGCTCGCCTTTTTTTATGATGAGAGAAATAATTAAGTCTGAAATCACTAGATAACATTTGAAAAATTAATACATGTGCATGAATCAGTTCCATGCAGACGGAAAATCTGGAAAACTTAATATTCATTCACTAACTGAACTTCGAGGAATCACACTACAACTGAAAATTAGAGTATATTGTATAGTGCATGTATAGCATCTATAAATATTGTATTTATAAAGCATTAACTATTGTATATTGTTACTAATATGTTTAATTAAAATTGTTTACTCTTTCAGCGAGACATAGGGGCGTCAAATCTGTTTTTTGGCAACTCCCATTTTAGTAATTTTCAGTGTAAATTAATGTTTAGTTGGTTTTCTGTATAGCACTCTTTGGCAAGTTGTCTTCTTAACTAAGAATACAAGTGCGTAAAATATCGTGAGGCATGTACGAGACTCAAAAACGCATGCATGTGCGAAGATTTCTTGCCAGAATTATGCAAGAATCTTCCAGTAGCTGCGTTAACTTGGCAGAAGAACAAAATCTTGCTCACCATTAATGCATGTTACAAATGCAATTTCAGGTTACTTATGTGAAATTCTCTGTTTGACCAATAAAGTTCTATATAAACCTTATGAAAAGCCGCTTATATAATACACATTTGATTTATGAATTTCAAGTAGCTTTCGAGTACAAAGCAACTGGTCTGATTCATTAGGAAAAAAACTTGGTCACGGCAATGCGTTGGAGTAGTGTGTCCGCATAGCCACACTTCATCTTTACTCTCGTGTCTATAGTGCATAACTATTCATTATTAACTATCTATGTTAAAGAGTTTTATACAACCGGCCCCTGATTTCAATATTGTGATATATAACTATCGTGAACAAGTAATTTTCCTCGATGAGAACTGAATAGTCCGGATGTCAAATTGTAAATTTTCCCCCTTCAGATATTGGTTATTGTTGACTGCACACAAATAGAAATATTCCATCACATCATTCACCTTGACATATTCACGATTATTACGACCGAAATAATGGATGGATAACGTTGCACGCGGATTGATGTATAGAATTTCGTGTCGGAATGATTTATGATCGACATGCTTATAATGTATATAAATTATATCAATTTTTTGTTTTTAAGAATATAAGCTATATGAAATATATTTAATGATGTTGATTGTTAAAATTCTGTTAGAGTGATAGTGTGATATTGTTCACATGTTGTGATAATTGGAAAGTTGTGAAATCTTTGCGTGGGAATTTAGCGAAAGTTTTCCAATACAATATTGATTGTGTGGAATCGTCAAACATCATGCGAGGAATGATACGCAAAACGAGAAACTATTGGTATCTAATCGGGTCAAGCAGGAACAAAGCAATTTACTTCGGTTTACATAATTCTAAACTAACGTTTGAAAACGAGATAATTGTAAGGTTTATGACTGTTCATGCTTTTATTACTATTATCAAAAACTGGATTATTTAGCCTATCTATAATTATTGCTGCTTGTACGTTTATAACTGTTTATCACCTCGTTCTCGCCTACTTGCTGCAATTCAAACGATTCGGTCCTTGTAATATACTTTAGCTCTTGATATAGGAAACGCATTATATGCATACATGATTATTGCATATTGATACAAGGAATAACAACATAATTATCACATTATACCTCCAGGTGACTATATAACATGCAAGTAACCATAACGGAAAGCTCACGTTTTGCAGTTCGCCACAAGATATATTTCTTTTCGTGTTTATATAGGGGATGTAGGAGATATTTGTTTATGCTAAACTGATACATTAGACACGTAGAAAAAAGCATTTTCGAGCTTAAGAGAGAGGCTTTATTAGAAAGTATTCATCTTTTCCTGAAATATGGATATATGGCCTCGCGTGCGTTTCAAAATGTTGACAAAAATGAACTTTTTTAGTTTCAACTGTTATTTTCTCATTTAAGCGAAGAAATAGGATCTATTTTGCAAATTTTTTCAACCGTAGCGTATTAAGTTGCTTGGTTTGAAACCAGACAGTCTTTTAAACAGTTTTCAATTCTCAAAGACTTGTGATATTGGTTGAGTCTGCAATATAGCGATAATCATGAGCGGGAAATCGATCTTTACACACTGTTATTCAAATGAAGTTCCGTTTTAAATGAGTTTTGATGTATTTGCCGATGCATGTTTTAAAAACTTTCATATCCATTCAGTGAATACTTGCCAACGCACATCTGTGTTTGTTTAGTACACATCTCGTCATTAACAAAAAATTAACATGACAAAAATAAGAGAAAGATATTCGTGCAAACTCCATGCATAATATATTGATAGCCAGAAAGCGTTATAAAAAATAAACAAAACAAAGCAATTATGGCGAAGGGTAAAATAAAAGACGAAATCTTTATTATATATAACACGTGAAGTATTTACTTTTTAGAAGTATAAGCGATATAAGTATGCCCTACTACGCAGTATAAATTATATATTATTCAAGCGGTCTCAACATAATTACAGGAATCCTTAGGCCTGCATGTAAGTTAGTTTCCAAACGGTTAAATATTACCTGTTGTCGCACGTTGGCAAGACACGCATAAAAAACATGAAAGAACTTTTCAACGATTTGTTGAAAAGTCATTAAGAACATGTTATCGGTGACGCTAAATTATGCGTGTACTTGCATGTACTATATATACAGTTCCAATCTATAGGACTGTTTATTGATCCGTTTCGTTTTGTACTTTAGGACAAAAGTAACAATTACTCAGTCGTCCATGCAGGCAGTGCTGGCAAAATACCAGCTAACCAACTAATATTAAGACAGAAATATTACATACGCCACGGTACAGCTATGCAACCGTTAATTCATTGTGTGACTATATTCAACGCCAGAAGGCGAAATGCAAATTACACTGACACAGCACTGACAGTTACAATTTAACGCACATTTCTACTCTTCGATTCCGTTCCGCATTTGTCAATAACAATATCAAATCAAGACAAATCGAAAATCTGATTTCACATGGTTATAGTCGATTTATAAAATATTCATTTTACCGCCATTTTCTGTTGTTTACTATACATTCAACAGGTCCAGACATTTTTACGATTACAAATCTTAAGTTCTACAACAATTTTTTTAGCAAGAAATAATCTTCCGGTTAGCTATCAGAGCTTAGTTACTGAGTAAAGAACACTCTTTCTACTTTATATATTGAAGAAACGGTCATGACAGCTTGAAATATAAAGAACTTGATCTTACTAACCTGTGTTATCATTGTTATTGTCTAGAGTAGCTGTTTTTCCCGCCTTTAGTTGATCGTTAAAATAGAAAGGCCAAATCTCGCTTGGATCCACATACATTCGTAGATTACAGTCAATCAGTGGCGGTGTTTTCGCGAGCGGTCGTAATTTTTCAAAGATTCGTCCTTTCTTAGGCGATTCACCATTCCACATACAATCTCTAATTAGCATACATTTCAAATCCTTTGTGCGCGACGCTCCTGATAAAATCTCGTCATTTTCGTTGGATTTCTCGTTTAGGATGGATTCGTATGTCGGACTACTGTCTGGCGACGACGGCGGGGTCAGAAAGATCGTCAACGGCCATACTTCGTCACTAATGTCCTCTTCTTCAACATCATAAATGCTTTTTCGCCAGTGGAGAATAGTCGTAACTTGAAGTTTTTTTCCAGCGACACTACACCAAATATATCATCCACTTCGCTCTCCAGATGATCCATCTCTTTCGATGAAAACATCCCTAATTTTTTTCAAATATATAATTTGAATATACTTAGTTGTACGTACAATATACTTGAAGTAAGACACTTTACTCCTTACTGGAGCGGGAAAATTGTCCAGTACCTTGTTATTTCGCACGTTGTCAATCCTCGCGTTATATGATCCAATAATGTACGAGTATTCTGTACACACTGCCTCGCGGCGTCCTATAGCACTCTTTGTGAGTTCTTACATAAAACGCTAGTCAGCTCTGACTGCTGGCCGATGAAGCACTTCAACAGTTTATATACATCGTTCATTCAGCGCCCTATTCAAAAGCGCGTAAACAAAGAAAGGTTGAGCCCGCCTACTACATACAGGAATATATTAAGTTGCTTTCCTTTAGGCGAGACCCTCAAAGTCACTCTCATCTGATAAACACAATCCTATTCACCTTGCTGGCTGTACGTAAATGGAAAGAGCTATTTGGTTATCAAAAACACGGATGAAAACTACTCCAAATATTAATTTAGCTGCTTATTGTATTGGTTCTATAGCACAATAACACAAAAGAAGTCGAAAGTTTCGCAATAGTTCGCACGAAACTTCAGCAAGGTGAACGGGATAGGGAGCATGGAGTATGTTAGACTTTTCCTTCGGGGAGAGAAATTTTGGGGAAATTATATATATTTTTCGTTAGTCTTTCCACCACCTGTTGCTTGGAACATCTGGCGCTGAGGGTTAGAAATGCTAATTACTCTAATATCTCTTTGTTCGCAATGTGTTTGGCCGCGTGGCGGTAACAACATACCAACCAACCGTAACAAATTGACAATATCATAATGAGATTTATCTCCGCGTTAAGCTCCCTCTTACAAAATGCAAACAGTGAGTCTCGAACATGAAATCTATCGTGTAGAATCATTTGGTCACCGAATATTGCTTTCATTACGATGGGATATCGTGCTAGTAAACTTAGCGTATAGGTCATGGCGTGCGACCGGAAATATGGCTGCGTATCAAAAAGACTGCGCTCGAGTCTTATCGCTGTCGTCATCTATATATAAATTAAATTGCTTCCACGAGACAACACGTGCCTGATGTCAATAATACAGTGGATGACACAGCCGCACACTTATTGAGTCATATCATAATGGCTTACCGTCGAGCTGCGCAGTTGGGTTATCGGAACGAAGTATAAATGAATCAGCAAGCAGTCTCTTTAATCTTTACAAATGAGTCAACTTGATGTTAAAGTTCAATAGTTGCGAACAGTCGAGTTTATCTGTAGCCAGGGTGTAGGTTTATGCATTCTGTAATTGTAGCATTACGATGGCCTCCTACACACCACAGGCATCCCTTGTGTAACCAGAGATGTCAAGTGAGAGACATCGCGTTAAAAATTCAGTTTTAACAGGAACTACGAGTATAACTTTGCGAGATTCGTCAGGTTCACGTTTGGCTACGCGGGTTTTTCCGCTTTCAACCGCGTGTTTTTTGTACGTACGCGCGTATACGCACGTAAAAGCTTAAGCCTTCTAAGTTGTTGTATGGTTAATTTTATGGCCGAAAAACCACACGAAATCATTAACGGAATCCAAACTTCCAAGCGTCTATTCAATTGTTGATTTCATAAGTGTCATTTGATTTTAAATCATTTTAAACTTTTACGTGCAAGTACAAAAATACGAATACAAAAAACGCGACAGTGGAATGCAGCCCTTAGTCTATATCTCGCGAAAGTAAGCAGTGAGGACGGCAATTTTAGTCTACAATTCACTATCAAAATCCTGTCGACTGCTATAGATTTCCCAAATATTGCAACATCTTAGTGAAAAAGTGGAAAATTCCCAGCATATAAATTTCATGAATCCACTATCAGTACAGTTACTGCTGTATTATAACTAAGCTTTGGGGAAAGTATATCTTAGGCTCTAATGTTAGACATGCACGCAAAGAAAGAGCACTTCTTTTTTTCCACGCATGCATATTCAAACCAGAGCATTAAACCAGTATGTAAACACAAACTTTATTCAGAACCTGGCATCAAATGTGGTAGAACAACTGCCAGTATAGACGAAAAACGTCTCGACGTTTCGGCCAGAGAGGCTATATTTGTGAGGAGAAATAGTAAGATAATATCATTGCTGTTATACTAACTCTCGTGACGAAGGCCTTTCTTAGGTTGAAACGTCGATAATTCTTTTCTATTTTAGGCAGTTCTTATGCCACATTTGTTGTTGCGAAGTTGTTTGAAGTCGCTGCCACACTGGCTGCTCCCTGGTTATATTTACTCAGAACGTAAAGAAATTGTCGCAACAACTTGCAGGAACTTTCAAATTACTTGTTGAGAGCTCTGAAGTACATTAATTTTTATTTTTCTTTCCTATTCGGTGCTGTGTATATTGCGCATGCCTTCACATATCGTCCAGTGAGCAAAAACAAATAAACCCTGGAAGAAAATCTTTGATAATGAGGAGGAAGGAACGCATGCAATGATTCTTCGAAGTAACCTCAAATAAATCAACTATCGATATATATATTTAATTTAAACATCTCATCCCATTCCATTCCGGTGTTACGTCACAATAATTCAGGTTAGTTCTTCCGTGGCGGCCTAATTCAGCGCTGGGAATATCAATATTATATATAAGATAGGGATATAGGAATGCGGCCTAGGCTGATGTTAGGAAGGATCACAATTGACTTTCATTTTATGGATTGAGTGTTTCGCGTGTAAAAAATAGCCCCCAATCGAAAAACGCAGACAGTTCCTCGACCTTTTATACGCCTAGCTTGCAGTGCAAGAATTTCTTGACGGTGAAATGTCTAAAATAACGATTGAACCAAGGCAGATTAAGATTATGCTCACGAAAATTGGTAGTTTTGATCGAAAGATGTACTTTTGTACATTGCTTTTGAAGCGATTTTAATTGAATAATATCAACTGTTATTAAAAATCATTAGTCGCGATGTTCGAAAAGCCACGAAATTTCTTTGAGGTCATCAACAAGGCGCCCGTCGTTAAGTATTTTAATTACGCCAATAATGAGAGTTTTAATTTTGTCTGGAATAACGGCGGGTTTAAATGATAATTCAGCTAATGAGATTTATGCGGTACAAAGCAAAAACCTCAATGACTTTCATTTTGCTTCAGATCATCTGATTTTAATATTTCATTAAATACACGAAGTAAATATATATGCACGATATATATTTGCTCTTCTTGGAAAACATTTAAACTGTGGTCAAGAAAATGCGGTTAAAAATATTGATAATAATAAGATAATAAGGTAATACAAGATTGCTTTTACCGATCGTCAGTGTTATCAAATATACCCAGGTGATTTTCTGTAGTATCAGTAGCAATTTTCAACTTTTCAACATTTCAAAAGTGTCAACCGGGGTTTTTTATTTAACTAGTAGGTTTTTTCTACACTGCCTTATTACTATCATCACAGTCACTCACAGAAGCATAAAATCAAATTCTCATTCGCCTAGTTCATTACATGATAATCTGAGCATTTTAGGGCTTAAAATGCTACACTGTTTTGCGAGGCATAAACATATAATACTGTTTTGAGAGGCTGATACTGGAACCTCTCCATATATTCCAGCTTTGTGTGGTGAGGAATACTTGCGTGCAGCGTCTGAATAACGAGCAGAAAACAACGGAAACAGAATAAATACCATTGTTTAGAGTCTCAAAAAAATTATAACATGAAAAATTAATGCCTGGGCGTGCGACGATAAATCCCTTAACAATAACATGTTATTAAAAAACCTACAAAATTGAATTCTCGACACAGACCGAACGCAACGCAAATTTTTAGTTTTTAGAAGCATGTATATATGATTAAATTTTGGAAGCATAAAAGTTTGGAATCTACGCCTATGGTCTATGGATGCCAGACCAGTAAAATGCATTATCGTTAAGTAATCTGCAAGAAACAGCATGCATGCATGATAGATTAAAATTTATTTACTTTTGATAAGTAAAAAAAACTATAAAAAATCGCGTCGCGTTGCCAAATCGCGTCCTGTCCGTGTGCGCCTTAATTTACACGGCATGATATTGAAAAACACTGGTAAATATAAATTCTTACACCCTATTAAATTTTGAATTTGTAATAGGAGCCGAGCTCGTGCATTTTCTTGCGAAATAAGACTAGATAATATTGATGCAAAGGAAATCATGACGCAAAACTAATCGTCCAATACAAACATGGAAATACAGCTAATACACGCTTGAAATATACACAACATCTTTATTGTTTTAGCTCTTAGACAGTAGTCGTTTGTGGGATAGCCTCGCACAGTTTAGTGACTCAGCAAAGAATCCAGTGTTAGTATTACGAAAATATGTACGATATCAAATAAAGTCAATTCAGGTGGGTAAACATGACAAGTTAGCCCAAGAGCAGGATTAATTTTGTGATTAAATCATCTTGACGTATTTTCCTAAGCTGTTTAATCCCTTTAATAAGCACACGTGTGCATCACAAATATTGACATTATATCTTGGCGATCGTACAGCATGTCTGATGACCCCTGGTCTATTTATATATATATACACAATATAACGTGCAAGCATTGCATAAAATTTCTGAAACCATAGTATGGAAATTCCGATGCAAATTCCATTTCCAAACAGATGAGGATAACTTCTTGCAATTGTTTCAACCTGTATGCTAAGCCCCCATAACTATGGACTAATAAGAAATCACATACAATCGCTCCCAAAAAACTTCAGGATAGTAACTTTATTTTATGGTGCGACACCTTGAATTCAAGTACTTTACCCTAAATAGAACTATCGATTTATTGAGGAGATTTGAGTTGAGTAACACTAGGTTTTTGTTGGCCTTAAAGCTTCAATGTTGCAATACCACGGTGCAGTGAACCAAGACTAATT